GTATCGTATTGAAAAGATAATATTTTAAAATTGAATAAATATTGTCTTCCATTGGTAACATAGATGTAATAACATAAAAAGCTAATTTTGTTGACCAAATAAAATTTACCAAAAACTAAACATTATATTATTGGACGAAAAGACTAATAAAAAACTGTATATACACACATATAGATATTGAACAATAACGATTGCAAAATATTATTAAAACAATCAATGCTTTTTCAATAAATAAATGAATAATAAATTGTATTCTTAATTATTTAAATATATTTCAATTCGTTAATTTCTTAAAGTATCTGATTACTCATAATATCTAAATATATATTTTTAATATATGTCCAATAATTTAATTTATTTACTTTTCAATTTTATATAAATAATATGAATCAATTTTTATGTTATTTATTTTATCGAGGAAAGATACTATTTAAATTTTAAATGTATTACACAGACTTTTTAATTGATTAAATTTATAGCATCATTTTTCGATTATTTTTATCCAATAAAAAATGAGATATATTAACGGTATTATTATATTTTAATATTACGATACAAAATTAATGGGTAATTGTTACAAATGATACTTTAAGGGGTAAGTGGTACATTGGTTAGAATTTGGACAATCATCAAAGATAAATACGATAAATTATTATACATACATAAAAAAAAGTAACCGAATACGTTTAGGAATCAATAAGAATTTGGACAGTCAGCAAATAATAAATTTATAAAAAGGAGAATGATGCAAGATTACTTCCTTTTGCTCCATTCGTTTATATTCATTTGGTAGTATAATAATTATTAAACTGTTGTATTTAGATCTCCGCTCGGTAATTGATAAATATCTTCATGCATGTTGAAGTGAAATACATATAATATCATCTTCCATAATCATCATATGTAAGTTTAGTCAAATGTATCTTATTCAAAAAGCAATTTTGCATCATCGATATGCACTATCACTTTCAACTAGACTTTTCTAAATTATATACTGCATTTGGTTGAATGAATTAAATTTAGTTGAAGATTATAAATAGAAAGTTCGGATGATAAAAATATTCATACTGTAAGTTGAATTCGTCTTTTAATTTCTATGTTGCAACCATCTATATTAATGGTTATTGATGTTGCCGGGAACAGGAATTTTAAATTCCATAGTCTATTTAAAAATAAAAGACTTGGATGATAATAAATTTCATTATGTAAGCAGAATTTGACTTTTAATTTCTATGTTACTACCATTTACAGTACTGATTTCTGATATTGTTGGGATGGGGATCTTAAATTCCATAGTCTATTTAAAAAGATTTATTGCATTCAACATTTACTTTATTTTTATTTTTATTGTTGAAAATTTCTTTAAATTATTTTATTTGCATCAACTTCCCTATAAATAATTTTTTTTAGTTTTATAAAAGTGAGAATATGGAGAGGGGTTTCTTCTATTTTTTTTATGGACAAAATATCCTTGGAATTAAGTTTGTAAAAAATTTAGTAAATACAAATCAATTAGCAAATAGAAATTAATTAGCTAGCATGAACATGAATATAGTAACCGATGAGATGGTATTATGTTTGATTCAAGGGTACAAAAAGAACACCTCTCACTTAGAGAAATTTTCATAAAACTACCATTTAAGTGGCAACTTAGAGCGTATCTTATAGGACTAAGTACTAACTGAAATTTCATGTAAATAGGGAGATAAAAAGTATTGCGTAAACAAATTAAAAACTACCATTCTTAGAGTGTATTATTAGATTTCAAAGCAAATCTTCACGTGACTACCATTCAAGAAGGTCTTATAGGATTGAGTGAAATTCTTACATTGGGTTAATAAGTGAAGGCTTAGTTCAGATCAACTGTACTACTTGCATTTAATCATACTTCATAATTTATTTATTTTTTGGTAATTTTTTTTGAAGTGGACTCATCTAATTATTTATTCGTAAAATTAATTTTCTATTATTTAAAGAAAAACTTGAAAAAATATGTTTACAATCCATGTAGTAAGGGATTTAAATCAATACTAATAAGTAATAACATCCGAATTGTAAATGTATGCCTAAAATAAGTTCATTTTGTTAATGAATTTTCTCTCCAATTGTTTCTAATATAGTCTCTTCAGATAAGTCACCATCTTAAATAAAAACAAATGTAAATAAAAATAATTGATTGTATAAAATTATTTTGACTAAATAATGCAAATCAACTAAATAAACGACGATGCTAGAATTTGCAAAAATGAGTGTAAACAAAAGTTGGTAAGTTGGAAGAGGAAGAATAATAAATATTACAATAATATATAACTTTATGTTAAGAAGAGAAATCACTTATGCAAATTCAAGAACAAATATGAAGATTTGTTTTATTTATTTTTCTTTGGAACTTTGTGCCAACTCAAGATCAAGCAAAATAATATAACAGCAAAATTTATATTCAAAAAATAAATTTGAAACAATACAATTTTTGATTATATATATAGTGTTGTAGAAAAAGCTTATGTATCTTATTTTTATTAAATATTTTTTATAGTACCACTGTTAATTTTAATCGAGTACATTATTAATTAACAAATATATAAATATTTAATAAAAAACATGAACCACGTGCAATGCACGTGTCACTTACTAGTAACTTCAAAAAATCCGAGTTAAACTTAAATCCATTGTAAAACGAAACCATCAAAATAAGTTCAATGAATTTATTATTACGATTTCAAATACCCTTCAATCCAAAATGTACAATCCTACTCAGCTGAAAACTCAAACAACATACTGTGCTTATACTTCTCGCCCGGTCGAACAACAACAGAAGGAAAATTCGGTTGGTTTATCGCATTCGGAAATCCCTGTGTCTCCAAACACGCAGCACCGTGCTTTTCATACACAGCGCCACCTTTACCAATAACCCCGTTCACATAGTTGGCGGTGTAAAATTGCACACCGGGAGCATTCGTCCACAAATCAAGAACCCTCTTGCTAATCGGATCCTTCAATTTCGCAGCATGCTTAAGCCCATTCGATTTCTCGTCACCACAATCAAGAACGTAATTATGGTCGTACCCAATTCCGATTTCGTGGATCCGACTTCCGATTTTACTCTCGGTAGTGAAATCGAACGGTGTGCCTTTAACGGGTGTAATCTCGCCCGTTGGGATTGAGTTCTGATCGACGGGTGTGATGTGATTGGCCGAAATCTGAATCGTGTGGTCCAGAATGGTTCCTGAGTTGTGGCCTGATAGATTCCAGTATGTGTGCTGTGCTAAGTTGATTGGGGTTGGCTTATTTTCGGGTACGCCTTCCATTTCGAGTGTCAGTGTGGTTTTTGAAGTGAGTGTGTAAGTTGCAGTGAACGAAACCGAGCCCGGATAACCTGCATTGCAATCACGAGAAGTAGTGATTATATATTAATTTTATTAATTATGAATTTCTGCGTGCGTGTTATTATATTATATCAATACCTTCTTCTCCGTCGCGACTGTGATATTTGAAGGTAATCGACGGGCTATCGCCCTGGTTGTATTCAGCAACTTCCCAAATGACCTTGTCGAAGCCCTTGTGCCCACCTTTGGAGGATGAAATAAAACTATTAAGTTATACGAAAGATAAAACATTTACGAGTATACTTAACTTAGTAATAAAGGTCGATTTGCCAAAACATTAAATTAATTATTCTTTTCATCGACCCGAAATAATAATGTGGTTAAGAAGGCGAGAACGAACAAATTTTAACTATACGAGACATGAACTTCAAAACTAGTAGACATATATTCTTCCAAAGATTTTTTTGACTCAATGTACGAAATGCACGCACGTTAATCGGTAAGAACTTCAATTTCCGAAACCCTCGACGATTTTTTTATTTATTTATTTACTTTTGAATCAAGAAAACTACAAGGGATACTAATATCTAATATCAATAATCAAATCAACAGAAATTCAAGAAACATCAAACACCCTAAAAAAATCAAGAATGAAGAAATTTGTATTGCCCCACATCAAAGTTCAAACATGACAAGATCAAACAAATATATGTATACATAATAATTTAGTACATTTTTTTTCCAGGGACCGAAATAACATTATTATTTAAATGAGATTATTAATTTATCAAAGTTCTACTATATATATATATATATATATATATATATATATATATATATATATATATATATATATATATATATATATATATATATATATATAAAGTTTATTTTAATGAAAAATAATGAGTATAATAATATATATATATATATACCATGGAGACTATTAGGTGGGTTGTTGATAGGCAAAGAGTAGTGAACTCCATCGAGTGAAAACTTCCCATCTTTGACCCGGTTCGCGACCCGACCCACTACGCACCCAAAATATGGAGCATCGCCTTTCTGCACACAATCAAGATTCAATTTTTACATGAGGCAGAACATATATATATATATATGAACTAAAGGCTAAAAAAATCAAATGGGTTATTTAGTTATTGAAAAATAATAATTGGGAATACGATTGGTACTCACCAGATATGGGTCGAGTGTGTCGAATCCAAGAACCACATCCGCCAATTTTCCTTTCAGAAATGCAAATATAAATATTCAATAAAAAAAAATGGGATTTGTTGATGAATTAGATCGATTGTGAAGGGTTTAATTTACCATGTTTGTCTGGTATAAGTAAGGAAGTGATGGTGCATCCGAAATTGGAGAGTTTGAGTTGGATGGTGCCATTGTTGAGTTCGAAAAGCTTCGGCTCTGCCATTTATTTGCTGATCAAGTTTTCTCTCTCTTCCTGTGAATAATTGAATATGATCAAGAAATGTTAAGAGAGAGAGAGAGAGAGAGAGAGAACCGGATTCTAGTAGTGGTAGTGCGTAAGCAATGGGGCCCAACAGTATTAACAGATAAGAACGGCATTAGATTTGATAATCTCTCGACTTTTTCATGAGTAAATTACGGCGGATACAAGGTCAGGTCAAATCACCCCAAAAAAAATTGTGTTTGGATAAGTACAATTAACTCTCACTCATGGTAGATAATCTCGCGTTATAGCAAGATATATATCGTATACGGTATGGTTCCAATCAAAACGATAGAACTTGGTTTATATATCGATTATTGATAAATACCATTAAATACCGCGAGATATCGTATTGTATCGTCGTATTACGATACGTTACGATATTTACGATATTAGTCGACAATTAAAAAACATGAAGAAAAAAAAAACGAAAAAAAAAAAGAAAAAACGCAATCAAATTTAGTATTTTAACTTAAAAATATTAAATTTTACATGTTTATAATATTTTTATAATGTAGATATATATTTTTTACTATTTTAATAGTTGGTTAAATATCGTACGATACGATAACAATACGGTATGAGATATTTTTACGATCCGATAACCATGCTCTCTCACCTATAAATATTCGTACACGTTCATCCTTGTGCTGTCAAATTTAGTTAAATCTTCTACATTATATTGAATAATTCTCCAGTTTATAGCTGTTTTACTTCATTCGAGCTCCACTCTTTAAAACGAGATGATCATAAGATGTGTCTCTTGGCTTGTAAATAACAGATTCTGGTGCATCTGAAATTGCGTTTTTGCACAAAACGAGTACAAACTAAAGAACATTCCATGGAATCTATAAGATTATGTTGAATTTCACTCCATAAAGGAAGGACGTGTAAGAGAAGATTTATAGTTGATAGACAATTGTAATTATCCAAATATGAGTGATTTTTTTGTAATTTGACCCTATTTTTTCATTTGTTTTTTTTTTGGGGGAATTTGAGATAGTCTTTAAAACAATTTAATAAAAATCTATTTATTGAAAATACTAATTAACTTGAATGAGAATCCTGATTTTAATCTGGTAATTTGAGGGGTTATTGATTTGCTTTTGTGTTTAATTTTACGGTCTTTTATTG